GAATCGAGTCGCCACCTACTGTATCAGAGTATGTTCACAACCTGTGGATCACAGTCTCTGTAATCGATTTGCTTCGCCTTAAAGTGCAGGGTGACCAATCAGGTGTTAGATAACCGCCCCCTAACTTTGATGGGTGAGTTTCACAGATTCTTTTAATGGTTTGGATGCACTGCGACACAGGACCACGAAATAATTTAATGCACAGTGAAATAATTATATATATATATTTTTTTATAAAATTAAGACGTATTTTATTAAATTAATGACATATTTATATACTTAATTCCTTATTTATTTAATGAATTACACATTTAATTAATTGTTTTTCGCTGTATTTATTTATTTAATTGTGGCACTTTATATTAGTGACGTGTTTTTAATTAATGAATGACACATTTATTTATTTAATTCCACATTTAATTAATTATTGACACATTTAATTATTTTATTAATGCTGTATTTAGTTATTTAATTTTGTCACTTTTTATCCTCCATACAGATCAACCTATATGCTAAAATTCAATATACCCATTCATCAAAGGGCTTTTAACAGACCCTGTGAATTTTTAAGGTTCTATGTATTTCTGGAGAAACGGTAAGGAGGTTCATTTTCACCGTAAAGTTAAATATTTTACCCTACCTGAGCCTCCCACCGAGCCCATTCACCCACGTTTAATGCCAAAAACTGTTACTTAGCAATTTCAAAGAATTGAACAGTGATTGAAGTGTTGGCTAAATGGACCAGATTAAGACAACCAGAGCTAGATTTGAAACCAATTGTTTCCAGTTTAGGAAAGCTATGTGTCCTTTCAACACCTTGATCCAGTGGGCAATAGGTTGTCCAGTTTGGGCACAAGAGCAATATCTGCGACAGAAACCCCAGCCAAGCCATTACCAAACCCCAAGGGCCCAGCCCCGAAATTAACAATTTGAAAATGATCATTTATCAATTAGTATGACTGTGTTTTAATACAACCAGCTCCTCTTCAAACCTTAGTTTGGCTCCATCTTGTGTCCACTTCATATGGCTGCATTTCCTATCTAACCTGTTGAGTATTTCTGCTTTCCACCAAACCTTTTATCAATGATTCATTCTTAATGCAGAAACACCACAGGTCGCTCATATTATTACATTTTAAACATTGGTGTAAAAAAAACATTTTACTTGTTCTTAGATTTATCATAAGTACACATAGTCAGAATAATGTAAAATCAAAATCATTGTAGAATTGTTTAACTCAGTATTTCTTCATGAGGAAGTCTCAGACACGCAGCTATGGCTGCACAGGGAGCGTTGCTGTCACTGGGTCAACACCT